TGTATCAGTAGTTCACTTTTTTCATAAGTTCGTAGTATTCCATTTTATGGCTAAACCAATGTTTATTTATCCTTTTACCTGTTGGTGGACATTTGTGTACTTTAGTTTTTGGCAATTACAAAAAAAGCTTCTATGAATATTTATGTACAAATCTTTGAATAGACATATATTTTCAATTTTCTTGGGTAAACATCTAGGAATGAAATGGCTGAATCATGTGGTAGATATATGTTTAATTTTTTAAGAAACTACTAAATTATTTTCCAAAGTGGTTTTCCAATTTTACATTCCCCCTAGCAGTGTATGAGGGTTGCAGCTCGTCCATATCCTCGCCTACACTTAATATTAGTTTTTTTAATATTAGTCATTCTAGTAAGTGGGTTGTATGTTGGGTATTTTTAAGATTTTCTTTTTAAATCGATTTTTAGAGAGAGAGGAAGGGAGAGGGGGAGAGAGAAAAACATCATGTGAGAGACACATTGATTGGTTGCCCAGAACCTTTCAGTGCGCAGGCTGGCGCTCTAACCACTCAGCACGCTGGGCACGGTGGAAACAACAGATCTTAAATCAAGTTCTTTTATTTTTAAAATGGGAAATATTTGAAAAGTAAGGAGGCAGTATAAAGGATGCACGATCCAAACTATAGATGGAAATGTTGTCTCAGAAGAAAATAACCTGTCCAAAGTTGGTTACTTCCAGACCTCGACAGACCTCACAAAAGACAGCTTTTTACCCCAGGAGGAACGGGCAGACAGACTAGGGGTGGGCCAGGAGTCTGAGACACAGTGAAGCCTGCGAGATGGGGCCCTTCCTTCTCCAGGATTCCCAGGAGCTCAGCCCTCTATGCTTCTGGGTTTCTGGTTGGGGGACCCAGGTTGAAGATTTGGGGTCAGAGGTGAGGAATCAACGAAGCCGCCACTGTGAGGACCGTGGACCGGAGATGACCCTTCCCGGAATCCACCCTCGCCTGGCCTGTGAAATGTCTCTCCTCTTTCAACCAACACTCCAGCCAACCCCGATTCTTCGCGGCCAAAGCTGGAGATATCCGCCAGAGGGCGCCCTTGCACCGTCGGTCGCCGGGTCCGCAAGCTGGGATTCCCTGGCTGTCGATTTTCCCGGACGGCTACAGAGCACCTTCCCTGGGTGGGTGCCCACAGCCCTCCAAACCCCTACGAGGTTTGCTATTTCCAGCCTCAGGTCCTTGTCCGCCCCGCTCCGCCCCCACGGTCAATGCGCCCGCCTCGACGCCCTCCAGCCCTCGCCCTGGTCTCTCTCCACGCACTCGAGCCTGGGGAATTGCGCACCTCGCACCTGCTCTAGGGGCTACCTCCCGTGCAGCGCAGGCTGCCTCCCCCACCCCCTCCCGCCATCACCCGGTCTCCCCCAAGTCCTCTGTGGCCACGGACTGCTGGGTGAGGAGAGCAGCTTCCCTCATCCCCCAGTGAGGACATGACCTCCCTTTCCCCTGCACACACGCGTCTGAGGGAGAGCGCCTCCTCCTTCCAGGGAGCCCTCTCCTTCCTCCAGGATGGCCACTGACAACTGTCTCAAGTGGTGCCCCAGCCTCATGCGCCCCCTTGACACCACCCTCTCGGGCCCTCCCGTGTCCTGGCCGATCCCTGTTCCTTGGGGCAGAGGGAAGCCCTGCCACAGGTCGCTCCTGCTCCTGCACATGCGGCTGTGGATTCCTGTTTTCTTACATGCAAGGCCTCTGGAGGCTGACGCCTCCTCCGCTGCGTTCTTCATTCCCGCCCAACCTGATTATTTTTCTGGCCGGACCCCCACCCCCGTCCCAATCCTGACAGAGCTGGCTGTGGCTGGCGGGGGAGGACAGGCCGAGATCCCACTCAGCCTCCCAGGCCACTCCGGCCACTGGAGCATCGCAGCTCTCCCTCTTGGCCCAAACCCAAAGGCTTAGGACGCCTTCGTTCCAGCATGTTCATTCTCCCTGAGCTCGCATGTTTAAGCCTTTTAACCCTACATGGGTGACTTGGTCTACATTTAAAGGTATTTCAGGGATTATGTTCATGCTATCATTTTCCTTTAGTCTGTCAGGTTCCTCACTTCATTCCCCTTTAACTGAACACTCAATTCCCCTCCACCTGCCCCCTAGAGCTAGCCACTCAACCGTTTCTTTTGTTTTCATGCGTTCTTGCCACCTCCCACCAAAGTGTGTTTTGCTGGCATGCATTTGAATTTTCATCCAAAGAATTGTATTATTTCTCATTCAGTTTGTCACTCAAAGCTAGGAGTTCAAGCTCAATCTCTATAGCTCCTGCCCCTTCTAACTGCTTCCTCTCAGCGGTGCTTACACTATGTTTCACTTTTCTTATCTCCTGCCACCACTAATAACAGTGCAATCATTACTCTCAAACACATCCTCCTATGCAGTGTTTCTCAATCTTGTTAAAATGCAGGCTCTGAAATAAAAATTTAAAAAATGCAGGCTTTGATTCCACAGGCCTAGAGTGGGGCCCAAAACTCTGCATTTTTCACCAGCTCCCAGGTGAGGCTGATACTGCTGGTCCTGGGGCCACACGTTGAGCAAGGCCCTTAGGGGCCTCTGTGAGAATTCATGTTGGGTTGCTGGGTCACAGGGCATGTGTTGATCTAATTTGGTAAGTACTACCCATCTGCTACCCAGTCTGGTTGTACCACCTTACTCCACATCAGCAGAGCAGGAGAGTGGGAGGTATATACAGGATGGGGCAAAAATAGGTTTACAGTTGTGAGTATGTGAATCACAGAGTTTATTCTTGTATTATTTATTAATTCTTGTATTTTCCCTAAAAACAACTGTACACCTACTTTTGCCCCTCCCTGTATTTATGTGGGGAAGGGAAGAAGGCCTTCTCCTTGCTTCTGCCCACATCTTGTCCCGCAATGTGTTTGGTCTGGGCCCGAACCAATGGGCTCAAGGCTCAGGAGTGATCTTGCTGACCAGCAATGCTGGGCTAAGGCTATGGTGGACCTGAGGATAGCATCCAGGAGACTCCCGTTAGGTTGCATTTTCTCTATTGCTTTATTTTTAGTGTCCTGTTCAGTAGACGAGGACTCCAACAACCTGGCCTTCCCATTGGCAAGTAGCTGTTTTGAACCTGATTTCTCATCTCTAAAATGGAACAGCAGTAGCATAGCTATGGTTTGCAGAGTGGGGAGTCAGTCTAGGAAGTTCACCCACATGCCAGCAGCCCCGCAGGAGCCCTAAGACAGGGGTTCTTACTTGCTTTTACCCATGAGGAGAATGAAGTTCAGGAAGGCTTAGCAATTTCCACAAGGCCATGGAGATAGAAAGTGACAATGGTGGGATTCAAACTCAGCCTCAGCTAATACACCAGAGCCCGTGCTAACCACGAGGCTATCCCACCTCCATGTCCTGCCTTGCCCTTGCTACCGGGCCATATTTCAGGGACAGTCACAAGGAAATGGGAAGGAAGGACTATGCCTGGGTTTTCAGGCATGGATGCTGAAGACTTCTAACCAGTGGCATGGAGGATTATGAAATTCTACAGCAAATGGATTTTAGCAAGAATGACCTGGGTTCTAGGGGCTGGTCCTCAGGGCTTGAGTATTTAGGTGGCAGGAGAGGAGGACTTTGGGTCGAGGGCTTTAAGAGCAGGGCTTGTAGGCTTAGAAGTACACTAGGTCAGGGATGGACAGGATTTGGGAGGGTCAGGAATTGGGTGGGGGTTAGAAGTGGGGTAGGGATCAGGTGGTTGGTTTCTTAGCTATGGGTAAGGCTGTCTATCATGTGCCTTACTTGGTAACAGTTGATCACTCACTGTTTTCTTTGGAGGGTTAGCAGATGTGCAAACAGCCAGCACCCTGGGCTTCGGGAATGCCACCTTTCACAACCCGCCTGGTGCTGTGAGCAGCTGGGTCCATTTTGGAAACCATGGGCTATGCTTTTCCCACTCACATAGCTGTGCAAGCATCTCCTGGCACTAAGCCCCAGGCCCAAGCATTTCACAATCAGGAGAGTTCGATATCTGCAGATTTTGAGATTTCATGACACATGACATTTTTACATCTTGTCCACACCCATCCATCCTCTGTTTACCACTATAATTCTACTCATGGCGGAACATTTCCCCGAAGGCCCAGGGAAGTGTCTTGCTCTTTCTATGGCCTTAGGGCTCAAAAGACCTTTTGAGTCTACAGAATGTTCTCAAGAGTTCAATATAGTATCTGATTGTTTCCTGGACTTTACAAAGCACTTCATACATAGGTATTGCTGTTGACGCACTTAGCACAAGCTTAAAAAAATTAATTGGCCAAGGCCCCATGTGTAGGTGGGTGAAATGGGACTTGTTTGTTTTTCCAGAACAGATCTCAGGAGACTTAAAGAGTGGGTACTCTCTGGGAACCTTACTACCCTATTCAGCCCATTTTCCAGACTTGGGGATGTGGACTGAGGCAGGAGCTAAGGTATCTAGGGAGCGGGGGAATGTCTGGGCAGACAGGTCTGGGGGGCGAGTTAGTTGAAGTCTCATGGGGCTTGTGGCCAGCCCTCTTCTAGCGAGGCTTCTGTCAGTGGGCCCTTCCTAGAGCTTGGGGAAGTGGAAAAAGAGGGTTGGTGGGAGGAATGGCAAGTCCAGGGGTACCCAGGTAGCAGTTCTCAATGAGTCTGAAGCTGAGGCAGCTGCAAGAAAAAAAGATGTTGCCAGTTTCTAAGGGCACCCCAGTGGTGTCACCACACCCACATGGGAGCTCTTGGTGGCTTGGCCAAGCTCTGCCCCTCGCTAAGCCTTCTGCCCTATCCCCTCTCCTCAAAGCCCCGGGCCCCCTACACCAAGTACCTGCAGCATCAGCTTGAGGGAGGTGCCCAGGGGTCAGGCCAGTCTACCTTGCCAGCTCCAGCAACATCACCCATGCCACAACCTGTGCTAGGGACTGGAGGTCTGGGCCTGTTGAAGCAGGAAGGCTCTAGTCTCACTGCCCTCCCTCTCCCTCGGGGCCTCAGGCCTTAGGCCAGGGCTAACAGACACAGGCAGCAGGATGGGTTGCCCTTCTATTGGTCCAAGTCCTGAGCGTAGCCTGGGTGAGACATGGAGGCGAGGAGGCCCACAAGGCTCAGCAGCGTGGAGAACAGCAGCAGGAAGGAGGCGGTGAAGAGCAGGGCCGGGAGGGCGCTGAGCATCAGCAGCAGGACGGCGGGCAGCAGATGGCGCCAGGCTGCGGCCACCACAGGCCACAGGGAGCTCAGCAGGTGGGAGCCGGTAGTGAAGAGCGCATGGCACAGCATCAGTGCCAGCAGCAGGTAGAGGATCCCCTCCAGGTTCCACAGCATGCGCTGCAGTGGCTGCCGCCAGCTCGAGGTGGTCCACCACTGGGTCCAGCTCTGGGGCACATGGCACAGGCACCAGCGCACCCAATCCTGCCGCGTGACCCAGGCCGACCAGGGCAGCGCCCGCTGCGGCCCCTCACCGGCCCCGTTGGCATCCGTCTCCACTGGAGGCTGTTGCATCACAGCTGGTGCACCTGGGGAGAGGCTAGGCCAGCTGCAGGAGCAGCCCTGGAGGTGCCTGGGGTGCAGGGGTCAGGAGGGCACCAGTGTGGGTGGGGTGGGGCTTTGAGCTGGGGTCTGGGTCTTACCTCTGGGCAGTGGTCCCTAAGTCATGTTGCTGCCTGCAGCGCCCAGGATGGCCTGGCAGCCAGAGTTGAGCCCCTCTTTCACTCTCCCTCCCCCACCCCCTCCCTAGAGGACCCCCATTGTGACCCGGATTGGGGTGGGGTCCAGCCAAGAAAGGAGCCACTCCAGGGTGTGAGCCTCAACTAGGCCTCTCTCTGTGGACCCTCTAGGCTAGCAGGGAAGTCTGGGAGCCCACAGATGTACTTCCTCATGCTTTCTTGTGGAAAGCCCTCTTGGATCCCCGTCCCTTCCCTACTGGCTAATAATGCGTCCCACTCTGCTCTCTCACAAGTCTTTCTTTGGGCCTTCATTCTTTAGAACCACAGAGGCGGCCAGAATGGCCAGCCGCAACCTGGAGGTTCTGAGATGGCTGTCACATCCTGCCCTGGGCTCCCTGTCCCTTACCTCATCTCACCTTCTATCATTGCTGGAGGTCTGCTGGTGTTCAGGCTGGGGACAAAGGTGTACCCTCCCACCTGCCCAGCCCAGAATGGAGGAAAGGAAGCCTGGGGAGGCAGCATGGCCAGTGTATTTCTGGAGGGCAGTCAGGCCCAAGGATAGAGGCAGAAAGCCAGGCCAAGCAGGGCCAAGGGCATGCCTCGGGCTCCCAAGAGCAGCTCCAGGCCCAGGAGCAGTAGGAGCAGAGCCTCCTGGAGGCTGAGTCGTCCTGTGATTGCCACTGTCTGCAGGAGTAGAGCCTCCTGCTGTCTTGGGCCCTCGCCGGCCCCTTGACTTTGGCCCCCTGTGAGAAGTGTGTGCTGTGGCCGGGTGGGAGCTGTGGGCCTGTGGAGAGAGAGGGTAGCAGCTGGGATTCGGGGGGCTGACCACTTGCTTGCTTGCCTGCACCTGCCCACCTGCCAGGCTGCTGCCCATTTACCTGTGGAGCAGGTCGAAGGCCAGGAAGCTGACCAGTAGCAGCAGCAGCAGCAGGGCTGGGCCAGCCGTGGAAAAGACTGCCCGAACTGTCAACCCCAGTGCTCCCAGCCCTAGGACACTGTCCAGGAGCTGGGCGGGGCTAGGGCCCCAGAAGAACACACATGGACCCATTGAACTGCCCAATCCCTCCCCAGCACCCAGGCCCCTGGGAGAGACAGGGGTAGGATAAGCAAGGACTTCAGGCCCGGGTAACAGAGCTGGGTCATGGAGGGAGGGGGAGGTTATAGGAAGGGGCTGTCCTGGAGGTAGTAACGGAAGTGTGTGGGAGGGGATGGCAGATAGACAAGCAAGGATGAGCTCAGGGAGTGGGGAATTGGGCTCCTTGGGAATCTCCCCCTCCCCACCCACCCGCTCACCCACCCACCAATGCTCCTCACCTCCTGCCACTTCGGTCTGCCATTCTGGGACTGGGCAGCTGGGGCATTGTGACCTCTTGCCAGGTGGGGCTCTGTGGTAGGGAGGGGCTGCTGCTGGTTCTGGCCTCACAAGCAGCTCCTGGCTCAGGCGGGGCTCAGCCAGAGGTCAGTTCTTTCTGAGAACTATGACTCGCCCTCGTGCTTCTGCTAACTCTCGGCCCTAGGGCCCTCCCAGGGGGATCTGAGCTGCCAAGAAGGCATTCTAACCCCATCACTACAAGGGTGGCTGACCAAAGGGAAGGGGCTGCTTTCTTTCTCCTGCAGGTGCTCGGAGCTGTGTCCAGGGACAAGTCATTCAATCTTCCCGTCCACTGCTCTCTGCCCTGAGAGTAGGGTGATGCCTGTGGGCCCTTGTGGGGGATTTTTCAGGACTGTAGCCCTGGAAGGCAGAGACTCTGTCAGGAAGGAACCAGAGTCTTTCCAAGGCTGAGCTCCCATGTGACCTGCGACATGGGAGTGGGGCAAGAGGCAGCTGTTAAGCATGTAAGTACTATGGTGTGTAGGTGTTCGGGATATTGGGATTCCAGAAATGGCATAGAGGGCTACAACATAGTAACCCCCAAACTGGACGTTAGAGTCACTCCCTGAGAATGCAATTAAGGAAAATGGACACGTAATAAAGGGATTGGTCACTTAGGAAAGAAACCTACTTCCATTGATGATGTGTAATTGCGTGATGGTTCCAACACATCCTAGTTTAGTGACCTGAGAGGCAAGAATGGAAATAGGTTGTAATTGAGAGAACTTAATTTTGTTCACATAGTATACTTTGAAGGAAAACTGAAGGGAGTAGGGTAAGGGGAACAGTGGCCATACAGCCCCTAGGAGAGGAGGAGACAGAGAATCAGGCTGCATATTTGCCTCCAGAGGGCCCTGTCCAAAGACTCAAGGGTGGTGGCCTTGACATCTTTGATGGCGATGAGCTCAACAATCCATGGAGCCAATGCCACCAGCCCTCGGGACCATTTGGTGATTGCCTTCGGTCTGGCACTTCCCAGGGAAATAAAGCAATGTCCACAAAATTTCAAGGGAAAATGATTTTCAACCTAGAAACATGTATCTATTCACACGATTTCAAGTGTGAAGGCAGAATAAAGACATTTAAAGCCATACAAGGTCTCGGCAATTTGATTTTGCATATACTTTTTTTAGAAAGTTACTAGAGTGTGTACTACAGAAAAACAGGAATTAAACTAAGAAAGAGGACAGTATGGAATTTTAAGAAATGAGGCTAAGCCCTGGCTGGTGCTGCTGAGTGATTAGAGCATTGGCCTGCATACCAAGGGTCTCGAGTTCCATTCCCAGTCAAGGGCATGTACCTGGGTTGCAAGTTCATCCCTGGACAGAACAGGGCATGTGCGGGAGGCAACCAATCTATGTGTCTCTCCCACATCAATGTTTCTTTCTCTCTCTCTCTCTCTCTCTCTCTCTCTCTCTTTTACCCCCTCTCTCCTTTCCACTCTCTCTCTCTCTAAAAAAAAAAAAGCAATGGAAAAAATATCCTTAGGTGAGGATTAACAAAAAAATAAAAATAAATAAATGAGTCTAAACACAGAAGAGGAATGATGAGCAAGGCCTGGTATGTCAGCTGTGCTCCCAGGTAAAGAAAGAAAGCACCCTGGCCAATGTGGTTCAATTGGTTGGGCTTCATCCCATGTGTTGACCACTTGATTCCGGTCAAAGGAACATGCCCGAGTTGTGGGCTCAATTTTCAGGATAGCTGATAGATGTTGTGCTCTCACATCAATGTTTCTCTCTCTTTCTCTCTCTCTCTTCCTCTCCCTTCCTCTCTCTCTAAAAATCAATAAACTATTTAAAAAGGAAGAAAGAAAGAACCCAGCCTGGAATCAAAAGGTAGATGTTCAAAGAGGGATGTTTCTGGAAGAAAATGAAATTTTTTGGTTTTAGACATATTCAAAATAAATGTTCAGTTCTGTTGGAAACATTGGGATTGAATTTACAATTGGTGCCTAGAAAACCAAGCAAATGATAAAACAAAGTAATTAATAACTCCAGGGAACACAAAAGGTTGAACAATAACATTTACATGGTCATAACATAAGCTCCGCATGCATATTGACTCCAGTGATTTGGTTCTTTTGGGAAAATGGAAGAAGGGGAAGTGTATGTTTATGTATTTGGATGTGTATGGGGGGGGGGAGGGTGGGAGGAGGAGGAAAGTAATTCCATAGCAAGAAACCCACAGATAACATCTAACCATAGAAAAATCAAGAAACAGCAATAGAAGCATAGTGGTCAATACAAGGGAAAATAACAGAATTTAAAGTGGTTGACTTGGGAATGGAGAAGCATAAAAACGTCTTCTATTACAAGCCTAAATGTGAGTTGCCTCTAAAACTATTATAAATCATTTTGATAAAAATAATTTTGCTAAAAAAAGAAAAATTAATATAGGTCACATTGTGGAGGTCGGGAGTACAACCTCCCACGATGAATGAAACTGATTTCCTAATGTTATGTGGATGTATTCTCGTGGCTTGAGTTAACATTTTCAGTGGCAACATCAAACTCTGGAAGCTGTGAATCTCATGCATTTTAAGGGCAGGTGCCCTAAACCTCCACCTAGTGCTTCTCAGCCTTTAATATGCACATGACTCTCCTGGGGCTGAGTCCTGTTAAAATGCAAGTTCTGATCCGTAGGTCTGGGGAGGGATTCTGCATTTCTAAGAGGCTCCCAGGAGACGCTGATGCTGTTGGTCCTTGGCCACACTTTGAGGAGCAAGGCTCTCCTAGATATTGATGTACGAAAGAGAGAGAGAGAGAGCTGGGGAGGTGGTGGTGAGGGAAGGATGGGCATGTGGGAAAGTGCCTCTTGTGCATCTAGGTGCCACGGGAGTCCCCATTAATGCTCATGTGCACCATGGGGTGGGGGGGGATACCTAGTGGGCAGTGAGTTCTCCTCAGCACCAGGACAGGAGATTAGGAGACACAAGTAGGCAGTAGATTTCGCTACTTTTCTATTTGTGCAGCCAAATACGTAGCCTCCTTTCTTTTCTTAATATTGTTTTATTCCATCCATGTGTGTGGGAGCAAGGAGACTGTGTTAAGCTGTTTTCTCCATCTTTAATTCATCTGGTTAATGTCAGGGTTCCTAGAACCACATACTATCTCACTTTATCATCACGGCGCTGGGAAGAAAATATTATCATTCCAATTTTACAGATGAGAAAACTGAGGCTCAAAGAGGCGAAATTACTATTCAAGGATACCCGAACAAGTAAACGGCAGAAACCGGATGTGAAATTAAACCAGTGTGGCTCCAAGTCATTTATCCTCTCCACGTCCAGCCACCCGTCCAGCCACCCGACCACACTAGCGGCAGGCAATGCTGGCAGGCAATTCCCAGCCCATCCCTTGAACCAGGATCCCTTTAGGCAGGTGTCCCCACCCAGTCTGGCTCGTTGTGCTTGTAAAGTAGCCTTGCCCTTGTGAGGCTACGAAAGATTCTCTACCTGGCTCCTGGGGCTAGCGATCTGGCTGTGCAAGTACTTGTGATGGGAGGAAGGGCACTTAATCGGAATAGAACCACAGTTGTTTAAAGATTATTCACCTACTAACCAAAGCCAAGAGGGTTTCTGACAGACCCTGGGGAACTGGAGGATGTGTTGCAAGAAGAAAAAACAGGGCTGCAAAAATAAGGTGGCCTTGAAGAAGCCCAGATGGGTCCATTATTCAGAAAATAAAATACATTTTGAGAGCAAACCGAGGACAGGACATGCTTTAACTTGGCTGCTGTGCCGGGACCCTGGCCCCCTCCGGGAGTTTGCCTCAGGAATGCTGACCATTCTCTGGTCCCAGGAACGGGCTGAGCTGTAGCCACCTTGTTATCGGACTTCCAGCTCCTGAGGGCAGACACACAGACTGCAGACCCTAAAGCTCCCTTGACCCTGCTGCCCTCCCAGCTACACAGAGCTCTTTTCCCTCACCCCTATATAATCAGCCAGCTGGCAGAAGAAAGGAGGAAGCGCTTTTTTAATTTCTAGGGCATGAAGCCCGCTGCTCATTCCGTATTGCTGGCAATTTGAAATCAACACTCCTAAATGGTTCAGCCTTGTCCCTGCTTATTGGCTCAGTAGTGACAGGCAGTAACGGCCTTGATTTGGGGGGTCCAGTTTCACTTGGGTGCAAACCTGCCATTGTAGCCTAGGAGCTGCTACCTCCAGAACCTGCTTCCAGGCTTGGTGGCTTTGCAGCCCCAGAGACCCAGTGGCAAGGGCCAAAGGCAGTAAGTAGCCTGGCTGGGAACACAGTGGAGTGTAAGGGGATGAAGTTATAAAGGAGCATGAGAAGGTGTTGAGGCTTAGAGGGATGTAAAGGGGCCCTAAAGGTCGCAATAGACAAGGCAGAGAGACAAGGGGCACAAAGGGGTAAGAAGAGGTACACGGGACACAAAAGGTATGAATATCCTGCAAATCCCAGCAGCTAAGGGAATGGTGGAAAGTGGCCAACATGCCCTATCCTGCCAGTCCCTTTGTGGGGGCAGGTGTCCTGGTTCATGGCCTGACATCTCCTGTCCCACAAAACCTGGTACTGTTGGGAAGGGTCAACTTCCCTTCTGCTCTTCTTATTACTTTTATTGATTTTTAGAGAATAAGGAAGAGGGATAGAGAGATAGAAACATCGATGAGAGAGGAAGTCATTGATTGGCTGCCTCTTGCACGCCCTCCACCGGGCATGTATCCGGACAGGAATCAAACCAGCGACCTCTTGGTTCCTGAGTCCACGCTCAACCACTGAGTCACACCAGCCAGACCCTCCAGCTCTTCTTGTTTCTCTCTAACCTTGAATATATTATACAGATACTTTTTGATCACTGACTAGGGACCAGGCACTTTTCTAGGCCCTGAGGTGCAGTGAACATTTGGGTGCAAAAGACTTTCTTGACCCTAGCCAGTTTGGCTCAGTGGATAGAGTGTCTGCCCGCAGACTTAAGGGTCCCAGGTTCAATTCTAGTCAAGGGCATGTACCGTGGTTGCAGGCTCAATCCTGGCCCTGGTCAGGGCGTGTGTGGGAGGCAACAAATCGATGTGTCTCTCTCACATTGATGTTTCTCTCTCTGTCTCTCCCTCTCCCTTCCACTCTCTCTAAAAATCAATAGAAAAAATATCCTTGAGTGAGGATTAAAAAAAAAAAAAGGCTTTCTTGGAGGGTTGCTTACCTCCTGCTACAGGGAGGAGAGACCTAACAGTGAACATATAACAAATTAAACAAGATAATCTCAGTCGTGTGGAGCTCCTTGAAGACAATGTAATAAAAAAGGGTGAGAGCATAGAGTGTGTGTGTAGAGGAGGGAGCTTATTCCATCGGAATGGTGAGGGAAGGCCCTAGGAGGCAGGTGACACTGAAAGGCCATCTGGCTGATGAGGATGCAAATCTGAATAAGGAGGTGAGATAATTTGAAGGCCCCATGGCTGGATGGGCTGGTGCATTGGAGAAATAGCTAGAAAGCCTGTGTGTTTGGTGGGATATGAGCCAGGGGGTGAGCGTGGGGAGATGAGGTGGGAAAGGTGTGGGTGCAGAACCTTGTCATGAAGGGCCTTGCAGGTGAGCCCAGTAGGGACGTAAGCCAGGAGGAACTTGACAGGATTGGGCTGCTGTATGGGGACCAACTTGGAGGGGGTGGGTGCCAGAGACAGGAAAGTGGACAGACTGGGCTTTCTTCAGACCTGCTTCTCTATAGGAGCCTGTCCCAGCCTTCCATCCCCCTCCCCCACTCCCACCAAGCCTTGGCCTGTAGTACCATCCTTCTGCCTTTGACCCCGTCCTTCTGCCTCTGACCTGGTTGCACTTCAAGGAGCCTTGGCTTGGAGCACCTACCTTGAGTTTTTCTAAGTGCCCCTCTAGTGTCTGGGGCCTTGGCAGTGCCGTCCAGGCAGAGCACTCCACGGTGGGTCCTGTCCAGGTTACTCCCTTTCGGGCTGTGGCTGGTAGTTAGACAGACATGAGCAGAGCAAGGCTGAGGGGCCAGGTACAGAAGGTTACCGGGGCGGGACGCCCTGATTGCCTAGCAAAGGATAATTGTAGTGTGGGACCTTGTGACTTTTTCTCCTTAGAGATGACATCTAGGTCTCAGTTGTATTTCAGCTTCAGGCCCAGAAAAGCAGCAAAACCAGACAAGCAAGGCCACACCACCGCTGGCCTCAGAACCAGCTGCACTGAATAAAGAATGACCCCCTGCCCAGACAACCAATCAATCAGTGGAGACCCGGACCCTGAAAGGACACACGTGGAAAGCAGCTGAATATTCTATTGAGATCTTCCCCTGGGACCTCCCCTCA